TGAATTATATTGGTTTGTGTTATGTTGAGTTAGAAGTCTTGTGTTCGTTGGTTATCACATGGTTAGGAGTTAACCCATTGCACTCGAGAGGTGACTGTCACCGTTCGATATGATATAAGTTACAAAGTGTTATATGTAATACTGAGTTTTGTATAATGCATCAATATATAGAATATTTATATAAAATAATTTCTTTTACGTATGTTTTCCCATTAGTTTCGAATGTCGTCTGTTTCATCGGAAAGTGTCGAACGTTCCTAGTAAACATTTTTGATCGTAAGTTGATTAAAATCAAAAGGTTCACAAAATCATCGAGAGATCTATACTTTCTATACTTTCTATACTTTCCTCTATGATTCTATACGACTCGATGGAACGTACCCAACGTCGATCTTCGAAACAGAGAAGAAGAGCAAAAGATAAACGGTGGTAATTCGATCGAAGTAAACACTTCTCGAGAAGACGTAGGGTTATTGAATATTCCAGCAGCACGGTTGATTAAACAAACGAGTGTCCCGGAATCTCAAAGTAAATAGGATGTTCCGGTGATGCCATTAGAAGCTATCCGAGTTACCGAAGTCACCAGACTTCGGACCAACTTCGGCCGAGCTGCGCACAATAGGCGGCGAAGAAGTTCCACGCTTCCGGGCCGACGGAGACACGCGTGGATGAGCGAAAATGGAAGACACATCGCCTGCACTCGAATTATCCGACGCAGTGTGCTATCCGACTGTCCTGAACGGCCAAAGGTCTATTTTAAAACTTTTATCTTAACCGAAAAATTGTTGCTGCTTAACCTGTTCGAGACCGGTTGCACACCGTGTGTGCAATAATAATAACGAGCATTTATCAATTATTCCGAGTAAAGTAGTCGTCGAGATAAGACTTTTTTTGAATTAATAGTATCTGTAAAGTATAGAAAAACAAAATAAACATACCAACAATAAGAAAATTGAGTTTTTATGACTATCATCTAGAGATTTTAAAAATTTCAGTTAAGATAACTGAATATTTGAGGAACAATGTCCTACAAACTTGTTTGTCTCTGGAACATTAGAGAAATATTGAGCTTCGCTGAAAGTCAGGCATTCTTCGATTACGAGTTTTACTTTCAACCCTTAGCACTCTAGATAGTATTGTATGCAACTAATTTTTATTGTATCTCTAGTGAAAATGAGAAATGCGATAACATTCCTTCGATCTTTTATTTTCCTTCTCAGTACAAAATTTGGATGTGTGGAAAATCTAATTGTAGGGTAGTTTCTTTGATTCATTAAAATATTCAATATAACTGGTGCTATATTGCCTACAGAGTTCAAAGGGTTAAAATGTCTCGCAATACTTTCCATATGTTTTAGAAAAGATGTACGAATTTTTCTATAGTATCGAAGTACTGAGGTGAGTATATACTCTACTTTTAACCCTTTGCAATCGAAAGTTTCTCTAGAAATATTCAACATTTCCCGATTAGACATAGACATTGGATCGAAATATATTTCGAAAGACAGTTAGTTAATAGCAAACAGCGTGACAGATTCTTTGTACCAATACCATTAAAATATATCAACATAATACAATTAAGAAACGTCACATTTTTTAATAAATCTACTGTCGACCCATATTCGACATAGAAGCGCAAAGGGTTAAGTGTACGTAACAAATTCTGTCGCCTAAATTCGGGTTACAGTCAAAGTGTTAACAGAAAGTTAGTTTCTACTCACTCCTTCATGATTCCTCGGGAATTTCCCCTTTCCGGTAGCCACTTCGCTAACCGTTCCCATAATAACTTACCGAACGCCGACTCTCGCACATAGTCACTGTTCGGTGCACAATTTTGTTGAAATTGGGAAAATAGGGAAGAAACGTTCCTTGTATCTGCTCTCCGTCCAGGTGCCAGTCGCTGTCACACCGACGGTTCAGCCAGAAGTGTTCCGACACACGCGGAAAGTCGCGTAGGCGAACGATTCCTCTTCGCCTACGCGAGTGCAAGTATATATGGGGTGTACCCGGTGAACACGTGACACGCGAGATTACCCAGCGACATTAAACGGAAGAGATAGTGACAACTGTGAAGTTCGCTGAGCAACCGTTTCAGGATGTCGAAGAATGTTTAGCTTGCAATTCGTTGTTTTGAGAGAATCGATTTTCGAAATGACTAAAGAACGTTTTAGGCTGGAAGCTTTCGACGAATTAGAAAGATCAAAAGTATAGTGTAATATCTAGAATTCTTATCGTAGGTTAAGGCTGCTGAAGGAGTGTGTTCCTCTGTCTGACCAATGCGTAGTATTTCCACTTACATTACTCTGGAAAGTTCATCTTTAAATTGCCATTATTAGAATTAGATCAAAGTTTGAGGGTGCTTACGTGCATTGTTTTCTGACGATGTCACCACTGTTGATAGTTGAACTAATAACCCAATAATCTATTGTTATCGCTCAAAAGTTATGTTTTTATTAATATTTGATCATTGAGACTTGTGACAGTTTCCAAGTCAATCTCGATTTTGTCACATTCTTCCCTTTAATCAATCTAATTTCATATTTTTCATTTTAAAATTCGATAACCTAAATTCCAAATTTTTCAAATTCAATCACACTCTCTTTCAATCTCACAAGGGAACCTCTTCAATCAGTACACAGTGATTTTAATGAAACTTATATGGAACATAGTTCTTAAGAATCAAGGATTTCTTTCTTGATTCACCTCCTTTGCTTCTTTGTCAATAAATTTTCTAATGAAATATCAATAAACTAACTAACATCATAACTAACATTAATATAAATAACATAGAAATCAAGGGATACAACTATTCTATTTTAACGTTTCAAGGATAATTACATTAAATGAACTTTAATATTGTACATCAAACTTTGTAACTTTGATGTATCAAGACAAATGGCGACTGAGTCGCATCTCGAGTATAAAGGGTTAAGATAGAAAAAAGTCTTTTTTAAGTTAGCCTTAAACTTGATAAAGAAGACATCTATCATTAGCCGTGGAAATATCTTCTTCTCATTTCAGTATTGTGTTCGATAATCATTTCAGTATAAGCTTCGCACTACGACAAATAATTCTTTCCGTTTTTGGTATACTATATAACTCATAAAGCGGCACGAATTATCTGCTTACGAAAATCTGTACTTTTGACAGGTGGCGCCATCCGTGGCAAAACGCTCAAACTGGTAGACAAATGTTACCGATATGGGAGTTCACGCGGTCGACTGTGGCGCCATCCGTGATAAAACGCTGAAACTCTTTAACAAATGTTACCGATGTGGGTGTTTATACGGAATGTCAGTGGCGCCATCCGTGGGAAAATGATGAAACTGGTAGACAAACATTACCGATGTGGGAGTTCATGCGGATTATCAGTGACGCCATCTAGCAAGGCGCCTGTTATACTAATTAGCCAATAGTTTGAGCTTTTCTATAACAGATGGCGGGATCACTTTTGCTTCTGTTCTCGCAAAAATCATTAATAACTCCTCAATTCTAACCAAAAGTTAACAATAGTCATTTTTGTAACATTCCTATAACTCCACTCTAATGTCTATAATAATCAAAGTTCAGAAATTATGCCTATTAAGTCAGCAATTTCATGATTCACCGAGCCCCTGTCAAATATTTTCAACTAATCTTTGAACATTGTCTTAAAGAACCGATAATAAACAATTAACGCGAAAGAAAATCCTACGAAAAATGATGTAGAACTGTACCTAAAGGTCCATTCTCCATTTTGTAGTCAGAAATGTTGATGAGTCGTTAGTACAAACGCAGATATTAATGAATTTTGCATCGAGTTCGCTATCTGTTTCGGGCGCCATTGTGTGTCTCTCTCTTTCCCGCGCAAATGTGTGTCTGTCCTTGTCGGGTACCTCCTTACTCGTCATGCTTCGCGCGTAGGTACCAGGGACCAATGAGATGCTTTTTCGAAGGAGGTGGCATAGAGATTCCTCTCTCTGTCCTTGTCGCACAGTAGCTCTGTCCTTGTCTTACACATTGCGGGTATAGGGAGAAACACTCCAAAACTTTCACCGCTAGATGGCGCGTCATTTCTGCGCTCCAGGAAACGTTCCGATTTCATCGGCGCGAATCAATGAATATCGCAATTATCTTTATCATTATGACGAAAGTTTCGATTATGTCGTAGCGTTAAAATAATCCTGTCAATGTCCATTTTGTCAAATATGTTGTAAACTTGTGAATATCACTGAGATTATGCTTTGAGGAACTGATTCATAGGGAACAATTAATTTATAATTCTTGCAGGATCGTAACAGGGAGATAAGCATGGAAAATTGTGTCGAAGAAGGAAGAAGAAATTGAAAAAGTATACAATGTTTTTGTTATAGAAACCATAAGGGAATATTGAAGAATGTTTCCCTTAATTAATATAGAACAAAGAGTCCTTTGTAGTAACGTCCTTTAATAGTTTTATTTATTTTTTATTTTAACCCTTAGCACTGCACATAGTTTTGTGATATGTCAGCAACTCCTACCAATTTTGATAGTCCTACTGAAAATTAACAATGTTATAACATTTCTTAGACCTTGAATTCCCTTCTCAGTACAAACTGTAAATTGGAAGATCTAATAATCTTAAGGTGGTTTCCTTAAAATTCATTAAAATATTTAATATCGGAACTGGTGAAATATTGTAGCCTACAGAGTTCAAAGGGTTAATAGTTTTAACCCTTTGTTAAATCTGCTCATTCACTAACCATTTATTATAAAAGGAAACAATGTTGATACCTGTCATATATCTACGTTTACTCAAAAGCTTAACGACTGGCGATAAAAATTAATATTTACTTTCAATTAAAACATCAATAAATAACACTCGGATCTGTCAAACTCAGTTGAAAATTTTCACCACGAGCCGGACACGATATTGCAGGTCAGGAGGTTGAAAAGTGACAATGAATAAAAATGAAACTTTTGGGATTCAATCGAAAAAATCACGAGTCACTTGTTTCATATGTTTTACTTTATTTTCCAACCGTTTTTGTATGCATAACTAGATACATGGACGTAAATCACAGCACAACTCAAGGTTGTATAAACATTTATGCATTTGTTGGGAGTAATATGTACATGTGGCGAGTACGCGGTACAGGCGACTGAGATTCGAAACAATTTCCGTTTTAATTACACTCCGAATCGTCCGTTCGTTCGTTTTTTCCAAATTCAAGAGCAGTGGAAACGCATACATACACTTCGAACCTTGCGCGATAACATTCTGAATTCGAAACGTCACCTAACTAAACAGGGTCCGCACGTTGTTCAACGACATGCCTGATCGATATAAGTCACATTCTAATTTCGTCGGATATCAGTTGAACGTCGGGTCGTCGTTGATCGTTGTCAATTAAAAAGACACAACAGTGCGGTTGAAACAACGATGTTCGATTTGAACTGCGACGTCACGTGAGATTTCAAGTAAAGCGATGCCTTCCAACCAAGAATAAAAGACGTTTTGAAAGTCGTCCGTTGCTCAACGAGCAGTTTAGGCGTTTCGTTCGTAAGCTCCGAGGAAACGGCGCAACAAGAACATTTACAAAATAACCATACGTTTATATATATATATATATATATATATGATATATAATATGTCTATATATATATATATATATCCTTTGTATATATACAAAAACTTGTGTATACGAAATCTTTTTCTTAAAGATCATAAAAAATATGTCGGAAAGAACAGCTGTTTGCGAGTACAGGAAAATTCGTCTCCAGGAAGCAATACACGTGTGTTCTGCTCGTCATACACCGGGTGTCTCTTTAAAAGACGTCCCAATTAAATGTTCACTGAACAGTAACGACTGTTTCGCGATTTTCGTACATCTCTCTGACCTGTCTCAAAATAAATCAATGAAAACTTTCAAAAATTCCATACAACTGATCCTTCGCTGAGGTCGTTCGAGTGTTTCGAAACCTGAGACCATTCGACGCTTCCTGTCTTTTATACTGTTCAGTGACGATTTTACAAAATACTCATCGTCGAGACACCCGTTGCATCGCTCGTTGCTTCTTCCCAATTAGCTTCGAACTGATTCGCGACAATTTCGAGGATCGTTCCCTTCTCTCTTCTCCTTTTGTTTTGCGACGTGAACGTTGGCACTAGATTGCTTCGGTCGCAAATGAAGCTCGGGAAAAGCGATTGTCGGAAAGGGGTTGGATCGCCGAATGCAACATCAAGCGGCATGCATTAAATGTCTGTGCTCGAAAAAAAGTCCCTTGAAATTGTGCTTTAGCCTCGTATACAATGATTCGCCTATTCTCCGGTGACACTAACGCGCTATCCATACGAAATCGTGACTGTTTACCTATTTCATAGCCGACTAGCAGAAGTTGTTCTTCGAATACGATTCTAAGTGTACGGTACATCGGTGTCTCGTGAAATGCCGTTCTCCCAAATCGTTTGAGCGGAGTGATCTATTTATGAAAGAAATTAATGACAATGTCCATGACAACCGACCGCCAATCGGAAATTTACATTTCTGTCGATGACCGTTCGGAACAAACGAACTTATCCGGTTAAAGTCAAACTGAAAGCTTCGCCGAATTCGACCGACGTTATTCATTTTCACTCGTGCAGTCTCGCGTAATATAAATGCATGAAATTTCTGGTCTAACGATGATCCGTTTGTTAAACGTGTATCCCGCCGTTGCGACGCAACGAGCAGCTACGCGAAATTACCGGGTATCTTGATAAGAGTAAAACGGTTTTCGGAAGTGAAACGTCGGTTCCCCGAGGTCGTAGAGTACAATGGGAGCTATTCGAGCGGACGGATAAGGGATTTTTCCGAAAGCGAGAGAAAGTTCTTAAACAGGCTAGAAATATTCCTATGTTACTCCTAAGATACTTTCGTGAATGATACTCTAGGTTGCAGTAAGTAGTTAACGATAGTTTTTTATTCCTAAGTGTTAAGGGTGTTAAAGTCGAAAATTCGTTATTGGGTGCACGGCGTACCGCGAATCGTTAAAATCGTGCGCCACCAATAGGGATAAAAGATGTTAGTGGAGCGAGTATCGTTATAAATATCTAGACTGTGTGAGAGACGTTCTCTATCAGCGTTAATCAAGCGTTAATAGTAACATTGTAAAAACGTCCGGCAGGGTGTACGAACGATACGGTTAAATACATCCGTGTATCCGTGAACGGCGAAGAGCAACGTTTAAATCAGAGTAACCTTCGTCAGAGAAATTCACTAAAAAAAACAACAAATATTCATGGCTGTTCGCTAAGTACATCTGTACTTCCCTGAAACGATAAGTAAAAGCGACAGCTCGTCGAGGAACGCGTTAAGTACAGCGCACCTTGTCAGTTGAACGAATAAAATGGTTCGTCGATCGCGCGGACGTGGAAACGATATATTTACATGCGGCCTATCGGGTGTCGATTCGCAGGAAACATATCACGATAATACACGCGACGAGTAAAGCGGTCAAAGTCGTAAAAGGAAAATCCACCGAGGATCGATCGTCGATCGTCGGTGAAACGTGCGTAAGTACGTGCTCGCGAGAGATTCGTGAGAAGGGTGATTATTAAATTACAACTAAAAAAAAGAACTTATCACAAGTACAACCAGCATGAATCATAAACGTATGTATATCTACCGAGTGGTTCATCAGAAATGGAATTTCCTACGTCTCGTTCGATTAACTATTACCAAGCGTCGTCCGAGACTAACGGGAGAGAACATTTCGGAATAGCTCTTAAACTAAACATCGGTAGCCATCGTTACCCTGAAGATACCTCGCCTAGATTACAATTTCACCTACCACGTTCGAATAGTCGATAACTCCTAGCAAATGAAAACAATGAAAAATTCGATGTCTGATCAACCACACACCGTCGACATTGCCGAGGATCGTCGTCCCCCAATGTCGCCTAAGACGATTCCCTCAATTCTCGTGTAGTGAATCATAGTATGTAGAAAACTGCGGTATATACACATCCCCATTCGTCATCTTCCAAACGCACAGAGGTCAACAACATTGAGCATTGGGCAGATACATATTATACATGTAGTCGTTGATTAGGAGTGTCGTCGTACGACTTGGAAGACTCCGTCGACGATTCCGCTGGGTTGTTCCATGCGAGTGAAAGCGATCGTTCCCTTTTTAATACTCCGCTCGCCTTTCGTCACCGTGCATCCCCTTTCAACGATAAGTGTCAACAGGCGGACACACCCTGGTGCGTGCCTTCTTCGAGAAACAAAGGAACGAAACAAAAGAACCGGTCCATTGACGTCTTCGATGATTAATCCCTGGTTCCTTTATGCGGCGAGGCCGGATTGACCCCTGGCCCCGTGGAATTTTCTTTATCGGGCGCGTCCTTCCGCGGGAAGATCCCTCTCTTAGGAAGACTCCTTTCCGGACTAGGACTAGGACTAGGACTAGGCGAAGAGCTCGGTGATCTGGAACTGCTCGAGCTTGATCTTTCCCTTCTCAACTTCTCCAAGCGGGACTGGTGCTCGTACAGAGGTCCGCGGATGACTCTGAGGGTGCTCTCTAACTCGTAGGCTCTGTTCTTCAGGGTGTTGTAGAGGTTGATGTCCAGACCAACCTGCCTGGCCTTTTTGTGGAGGGCGATCAGCTGTCGTCTGTTCAGCACGTCGGGCAGCATGTATTCCTGCGCAGCAATGTTAATTTATTATTTCACTGAAACGGTTACTCCAGAAAACTCCGGCAAAAACCATTCGTATATATGTCATCTCAATATTTCACACACCGATGCATTATATACAGTTCAATATTAAATATTAAGTTTTATAGTTTCACTCAAATCAAGTGGTGACTGAGAGTCACCTCTCGAGTGCAAAATTTAAGTGCGGATGGCGAGAGATTTTGGAGAGAGTTGCGAAGACCTGTAAAGGAGAGAAAAGACCTGTAAACTGCGAGCTATATCGTTTCTATTTATTTGTATTTTATTCAATTATCTATTCCTATGTTTTTTTAAATAAAACATATTTGAATTCCATCAATACTACAGGTACTATAGACGCGTTCCTTCTTGTAGTCGCGTGGTCGATCGTATGTATAATGTGTAATCTCGTTTCGTTAAATATACTTTGTCACACTGTAAATACTCTAATAATACACAATCAGCAACCTAGCTGACACAGTTTCTCAGTTGTGATATATAATTCACTGAACCCAACGACTGTTTCTACAAGCTTACGAGCGCCAGGTTCCATGCAACGTGCGGTACAGAGTGTTTCGTCTAACTTTATTGTCCGAAATGTTTCTGCTTTCACTATTCAACCATTTTCTGCCGATTTTGTTGGAGACGAAGTTAGACGAAACACTGTAAATATTTGGAAATAAACACTCACTTGTTTTGTTAAAACGAAGTAGATGAACCAAGCCATCGTGGTGCCATAAGTTACGAAGTAGGTGACGGGTTCCATTATGTCCCACGAGTATTCCCACCAAGTTAGCCTGGCTAAACCGCTGAATTGCACCGACATCAGGGCCAGGCACACCCAGGTGAATATGTTCGACCTTCTGGCGGCTGTGATTTCCAATTCCTGTAGCTTCTGTAACAGAACATGGAACAGGGCTTTGCGCTTATGATCGTCGGTTGTTCGACAATTAACCCTTTGCACTCCGAAAATTTGTCACTAGAAATATTCAACTTATTTTTTTGAGATATAGATTAATTTTCTGTTAAACTAACTTAACGAGGGATTTATTCGCAAAACAAGGGGAACAATGGTATTTTATTTCCAACTTGGTATTTTATTGACTTTGAATTCACGCATCAATATACCGAGTTAAATTGATGTATTCAATTTTTAATTGCAAAATGACAAACGACATTAAATAATTAACCAACTTAAACTTCTGTACACACAGGCGTTTACGTTCGACGTCATTATAATTTCAAAATTACAAAATATATTCGTTTCAATAAAATTATTGAAACTATCGAATACATCGTTGATTTGTGTTCGTATGTTGATATTTATTAATTTCATACTGCATAAATATTGTTATAATCACGAAACAAAATTCACGAACTACACAAAACGGAAAAGGTATGATATTAAATCATTCGATTGAATTGAATTATTATTACGCGTTCATCTAGCTGAATGTCACCGCATTAGGTAACAATATTTATAATATACAAATGTTTTCAAATAATCGTCATTTAATTGAATTACAGTAATTCGATTTGGTTTGGCATGGCATTCAACGTGTTGAATACGAAATTTTACAATTTTGATGCACATTCGAAGTGCAAAGTGTCAAAAATTCACCCTTTCGGAGTTATCGGGAGAGCTTTGGTAACGTTGACTCGGGTTTCCTTAATTGTTATTGGAAGGTTTTATACCGTTATCCATTTCGAACTCTATGGTACAATAAAAGGGGACGTCTACAATGTTTCCACTATCGTTATGATTATCATTTCCTGGAAAGTTCCCTTGGTTATGAATTTCCATTACTCCAGTTTCATTTCGCTGGCCGCTGCGCTCTTCCCTTAATTATCCTTTGAAATAAGTACCCTTTCCCTCAGCACCGGCGTCGCCATCGGAAAGTTATCGTTGACGACGAAAATCAGCATCATGGAAAATTACATTTTACGAACGCAGCCGCGCCAGTTTAGACTGCCTCACTATTTCATCTGAGCTTGCAGCACAAGAGGAATGCACCAATACGAAATGAGTTACTTTTTCGTTGCATCGTACACGACTGCTACGGTAAATCATCACGAGAAAGCAGAAAAAGAAAGTGAAGAGGAATGTTTCAGACTTATTACCACTGGGACTACTTCGTGGCTCAACGAATTTCCCATTTTGATTTCTTTCTTTACAGTTTGCTAAATTATTCAGAGACTGAGACATAAATCGATTTATAGTTTCTACAAGGAAACGTTAAAAAACTAGTAAAAACGAAATTGAAAAGTGGCAAATGGAATTACTATAGTTCATTCAATTAAACGATTTTCTTAATAATACAATTTAATTAAATAATTTAAACCTTAGCACTCTAGACGATTTCGTAATCTACCAGCTGCAAGCCGTTTTTAAGAATGGAAAATATTATATTCTAAGATCTCTTAGGTTTCTTTATTTTCCTTCTTAATTCAAAATTTGGATATATAGAAGATCCAGTAATCTTAGGATAGTTCTAAGTTTATTCATTAAAATATTTAACCCTTTGCACTCGAGAGGTGACTCTAAAACTATAAAGTTTGATATTCAATATTCAACTGTATATAATGCCTCGGTATGTGAAATATTGGGATAAAAAGCTTTGTTTCTCAATTCACCTGCAATTTTTCTTCGAGTTAATTTGAAAGAATATCGTCTGCGTCTAGTTAGAAAATGTTAAATATTTCTAACGAAATACTTCCGAGTGCAAAGGGTTAATACTATAAACAGTGTCATATTGGAGCCTACAGAGTGCAAAGGGTTAACATAAAATTTTTCCCGTTTCCTGTATTCTGCTCTACGATACAGTGCATCATTGAGCGTGGTAAGAACCTGGTAGCTGTCAAGTTAAGGGAGATAAAGTCTGCCGCGATAACAAACAAAACCCGAGCGTTATCCGCCTTTATCGCGTCGTTCGTTCACTCCGCGAGGGTTGTAAACGCATCGGCGATTCCGCGATACGCCGCTTAAGCACCGCCGTTTCGCGTCCATTAACCGTCCGGTTATTATCGATCGTGCGATGGGAAAGGATGGAAGAAGAGAATGCGAGCGAAAAAGAAACGAGCCGTTGTGTATTGTATAATTACACGCGTGAATCGGTTTTCGGTGATCGCGAGTCGGGCGGCGGCGTTAATTGCTCCGCGTTCGAACGGCGGCGAACGCGATGATTAAGCGAACTCCGTGGAAAATTAATTCGTCCGGCGAGGAGAAAACGAGCGATAAAACAGCGGCGCTGTACGCGTTGTTTGGTGAATAATGCGCGCGCGTGCCGCGTTCTAACGCTACGGAATGCTAATAACGTGGTTCCTTAAGCTTCCGTTTAATTTAGATACCATCGGGAATGTTTCTATCGATTTACGTTCGCTGTCGCCGACCGGCCGCTTGTTCTTCCTATTGGGAAACGTTCGACGGCTTCTTTGTCACTTGTTCCAGCGAGGGCACTTGATTGTAACTGGTTCGATGTCGAAGTAAAATAGAACCTCTACAATTAACCTGTTAACTGTGGAATTCAGTTTGAAAAACCTCTCGTTCTGCGTGCAGTGAAATAAAAAAATGAAGTGTGTACTCGCCGAATGAAAGACCAAAGCAACATATCAGCGTAAGATAAGCAAAATTCGTCGCGCATTGCCAAATCTCTGAATTTCCAGCGCAAGTGGTTAAATGAACAAAAGGAAACGCAGAATTTTAATCTGTTAACTGTGGAATTTAGTTTGAAAAACCTCTCGTTCTGCGCGCAGTGAAATAAAAAAATGGAGCCTGCACTCGCCGAACGCAGGACAAATGCAGCTAGAGTATATTTTAATGAAAGACTAAAGCAAGACAAAGAAGAATTACATGTTTATCTGAAAAAACTTTTGGAACATAACGATTGGAACACGTGATACAGATTTTTGGATTGATTTAGTGGAGGTTAATGTTGTTTGTTACCACATTGCGTACTAATATTCAGAAAACTGAATTGTGCCGATGGCAATTTTGAGTGAGATCAACTTATATGAATATACATACAAAAATTCAGATATGTTGTTATGTAATATATTTTAAACAGATAATCAATTCGAATCGAATTTAATATTTTTTTAAATACTGTGGTAAATAGCAAAGTTGCATAGCTAAGTGTCTTTATAAAAAACGAGATTTCTCGTTGCCAGTACGCAATGAATTACATGTGGAAGTGAAATAGTGTTTTTCAATTATTAACCCTTTGAACTTCGTAGGCTCCAACATTGCACCAGTTATAATATTAAATATTTTAACACGTTGAACGTCGCACGGTTTCATAGAGCAAAATACACAAAATGGAAATAATACAATATTAAATCATTCGACTAAATTGGATTATTATCATTGCACGTTCATCAAGCTGAATGTCACCGTAATGGATAGCATTATTTATAACATAGAAATGTTTGCGAATAATCATCGTTTAATGGAGTGAATTATAGTAATTCGATTTGCTCGCACCGGTGACCATGGCATTCAACGTGTTAATGAATCATTAAAAAAACCTATCATAAGATTATTAGATTTAAACATCCAAATTTTTTACTGGGAAGGAAAATAAAAGATCTAAGAAATGTTATGACATTGTTAATTTTCGAATAGACGTGTTTACTCATTGTCTTAGTTAAATGAACACTGATTCGTTATTCCAATAAAAAAAACCAATAATTAATATTGCAATACTATTTTCCCATTAGTTATTAATATTGACAATTACTATTTATCTTCAAGGTAATTGTACACTTCAAACAACCAGAAAATTCTTTTTCCAGCGAATTATCAATAGCCACAGAAATTTATGGTGAATTCTAGGGCAAGGGTTTGAAATACTAAAATTTTCAGTGCGCTAATGAACATTCTTGTGTGCTCCGGCAGAGGCGGAATTATAATGACTCCGCATATTTCGTTACACGGATAATTGTAGCAACAGATTCTCGGGTTTCAGAATATACGGCGAATCTTTCCCCGTGGATCGGCGACGGGGTTGAAACAGCAGGGATTAGATTTCTGTCGCCCGACCGAGTGACTTTACCTGTTCCAGCGGCTCTAACTCCAGTCTGACAGCCTCCAACTCGGCCAACACCTGTTTCTCCATGCTCGCGTAATGTTCTCGAACGTGGAACACCTCGTACAGTTCTCCGACCAATATCTGCACGTCTGACAGCTTCTCTACGCTCTCCTAAAATGCGACGGAGCAAGGTCAAACGAGAATACTGATAAAAAGTGCTTTATTTAACAGAACATCTTCCCCGGCTCTATAATAAGTTAGTAAGTTTACACTCGATTTCTGATCTAAACTAGCGGACAACGAAGAAAATAAGCTAAAACTAAAAGATCTTTACCATAGAATCATATTATAAAAATTCAAATTATTAAAAAGTACAAATTAGAGATTCTCATAAGAAAATAATAACGAATATAATTTTAATTATTCGATGAAATGGAAAAATAGTCGGTGAAAGGAAAATTCTATACCCGATTTCTGATCTAAATTCGCGGACAAAGAGGAACTAAGCTAAAATTAAAAGATCTTTACCATAAAATCATATTATAAAAAGGCAGATTATTAAAAAGTACAAATTAGAGATTCTCATAAGAAAATAATAACGAATATAATTTTAATCATTCGATGAAATGGAGTAATACTCGCTGAAACGAAAATTCTACACTCGATTTCCCATCTAAACTCGCGGACAAAGAGGAACTAAGCTAAAGCTAAAAGGTCTTTACCATAGAATAATTTCGTAAACAGGCAAACCATTAAAAACTGCACAGTGGAGACTTGTGTAAAAACGATTATAAATTCAGTGATTCGATGGTTTTAAAGCGACGCGTAGACGGGGCACGCGATAACGACGCAACAGCGATGCAAATGCGCGCTCGGGAATACCGAACCCGTCCGTACGCGTGCTCTAAATATTAAACCAGGTCAGGCAGATTAATACACGCCTGAAGAACTCACCAAGGTGTGCCTCTGGTGCAAAGGGGGCGTAACGAGGTACTCCTTGTCGTTTATAATCAGCTGGAAGTCCTCCTCCATTAACGTTTCTATCGTGTTGCTGGAGCCTATTCTAACGCCGTCTGAAACCATTAATCCCGAATGCGGCGTGTGATCGCGTTAAAAGTCGCCCGGCGTCCCGCCGCTGGATGTAATTTCTATTATCGATGGTAACGAGCACGCTTACCGAGTGTCCTCACGATCGCACGATCGATGCCGCGGTCCTCCTTTCTCAGCATCTTGACGAAGTCGCCGACCGTGTGGGTTATTGGCTTCAGCGTAAACACGCACTGCTCGTTCCTGGACGGCAGCGGCACCGTGATCTTCGGTAATCCCCGTCTATACGTCACTGTGACTTCTGAAACTGAGATTGGCATCGAGGACTGTTGAAAAACGGACCGCCAGTTCTTTCCTCGCGAAAGATATAAGGCCCGAGTGCTTCTTTTCAACTCCGGAACAGAGATTTATGGCGCTAGCTATTTATCAATTCGACCGGTTCGCCGGGAATGGAGCTAGTGCTATGTCTAAATTGATTGCTAGAAGGATTTCTCTGAAGGTTCGCTTGCTTATTAAGTAAATAAGGGAACCGGGATTAGGAAATATTCGAAATATTGCGCGTTCGATGTGAATTTATAGATCTATGATATTTGCTCTTGATTTGGAGACAGTGGAACAGAGATCTATCTATTTGTCAGCTGGATTGATGTTTTAATGAAAGTTGAATGAAAATGTTGAGGGATCACTGAATAGACTATTTGCGAGTGGAATGTTTCTATTGGTTCTTGCACTAAAGAGATAATTTAAGTCGATCGCGGAGGAGCAGCGACTTGCTCGAACACTACAGCCATTCATCAAATCGGGCGCTACGCTGGCGTCGGGCTACTTTTCGATATCGAAACGAGCAGGTCAGACTAATCGGATGCAGTTTCTCTTTTTTAACTCGAGTGTTCCTTGCAACGCTCTTGTAGCCTAGAGTGTAAACTCCTTTCATCATCCTTTCGTCCGAGAACCGAACGCGTTCGAAGCATCTAGAAAAAGCGTTCTCCGGACGACACGAATTTTAAGTTGCTAATTGATACATTGGTCGTCACGGTGATCATAAACGATCAGGGTATACAAATTGTTCGAAAATAATTATAAGAAAATTGTAATATTGAAAACTAACTAGATAACGGTCTAATGTACTATATCAAACCACTGACACTAGAACTACCAATCGAGTTCACTTCTTTAAATTTTCGTAAACTTTAAAAGTACATGTATTGAAATTATTAGTAATTTCTCAGATAATCGTCTGTCGTCTTCTCAATAATTGTAAACGAAGAATGACAGAATTAATTATTCTGATAGTTGATAGTTCTGGCGTCAATACTACTTCTACTGCCATTTATCTCTACCACAAGGGAATAAATACTATCAACCTTAACACGTTGATACTTTGACATCGTCGATGACGACAGCAACTTTTTTTAATTAGTTGATTCTCGGAGAATTCCATCTTTATTTATAATACTAAGAATATACAACTATTACTGTCATTTGCACCTGCTCGAGCACTGGATAACCATTTACGTCAACGTATTAAAATCATTCAAATCATTACAATTCTATTACAAATCTTCAACATTTTCGTGCCAGTCAACGTATTAACCTCTTGCGTTGGAAAGACAGCACATCGAAAAATGTTTCTTCCAAAATTCCCAATGACATCTGATGCATACAGATAATCTTGTTGATTCTATACAGAACTATTAACCCCTTGCATTCGAGAGATGACTCGAGTCACCATTTGATTTGATATAACAAAATTACAAATTGTATATAATATTGTAATACATTCAATTTTTTATAATGCATCGATACGTGAAATACTCATATAAAATAGCTTTGTTTCTTTTGATTGACACGTCAAATCAACAATTGACACGTTCCGTGCCAAACCGTTTTTAAAGACTTTCATGTCAAGATGGAGTATGTCTTACAATGATTAAAATAATGCAAAAAATCATAACTATCAAGGAAAGGGTGTATAGTTTAAGATGCAGAACACAGCAAAGCAATAAATTTATTTTTCTAGGAATTAATTTAACAAATACCTGGCTGAACACAAAATTACACATAAAATTCTTTTATGATGTCTATATTAGTTTAAAATAAAACATTTTAGTTGAAATATATTTAATATTATATTTATGTGACAAGTTTGTATATAATCAGGAACGGATGTTACGGTGAACTTTGTTAAACCATGGCAAACATAAATATCGTTTATCCACACAACTATTACAGAATATTGCAACTTTCACAGTACAGTTTCTCGCCGATTGGGAACCGAATTTAACGTTAAAACAAATCGCAGTAAAAAGAATTATTAAGATAAATTATTAAGACAGTATTAAGATGCCCATAATCGACTGCATAATACATTTTTAATAAATTCTTCATTTTGCAATGACAATACCCAATGGTTCCCGGCACGGAAGGTATTAATGAACAAGATTAATCTACACATCTACACGAAACAGCTAAAAAACGAAGTTCCCCCCGTAAAACTGGCAAGCCTCTGAACGAATCTCCAGCGCAAGAGGTTAACGGACAACAAGTAACATTGCCTTTTCGCCTGTCCGCCTCGCCGGAGGCAGCCGGAGGCTTCCCTCTTTTCCGGATGCCGCGGAAAAGCTGGTCTCCGTTCCCGTCAACTCGATTCAATTCCCCTGGCCCGGCCTTTTCTCTTCCCCAATTCCGTGACGTCGGATTTCCGCGCTTCTTCAAACAACGGCAACTGCCAGCCGCGCCGTAAAGCCGGAACAGCGACTTCTTTATGTAGCCTCGTGGAACGAGACTGCCGAGATGAGGCGGACGCTGAACGATCGCTCGTCCTCCCATCGCCGCTGACTTTTACTACACCCGTAAAGGCTGAATGGGAGCGGGTAACTCCGCGTCGGACATTTTCAACGACGAGAACGCTGCGACACGCCGGTTTCTTTGCTTTACCGCGGCCCGGCCACTGAACGGGATTTAACGAACTTTTGTGTCAACGGACTCTTCGCCGAAGCACCGAGCTGGAATTCTGTACGAGGGCGTATCGAGTAGCAATTAGACTGCGTTCGTTGTTCTTGCCGCAACAATGGAAAGTAAACGAGTTCCCTGAAAAATTCCGTTGCTCGCGGCAACGTTTCAAGGAGCATAGGTTGAAAAATATGTTAAATGAACCGTTTATTTTGAAAGCGGCTCGAGTTCGCTTAACACTGCTTCCACCGGAGGTGTCGACAGACACTGAAATTTTAACTTGAAATTATTTTCCAAGTTTGGTCGTATATTCTGCATTGACTTCTCACGTTTCCAATGAGAATTATAAAATGAAATATAGGAAATGTACAAAATTGAAGGGAATGATTGAACTGAGAGAGTAATTTTTAGTTGAAATTTCGAAAGGTGTCTGACACCTTCGGTAGTAATAGTGTTAAAACAGATTAAGAGACCATTAAGAAATGAGACGATTATTCAGAATTTTAACCATTGTAACGGTTAAATTGATTTTTTCGAAGAATGGACTTAAGCCACTTTCAAGGTAAACGTATCTTGTATTTTACTTGATTTACTGTTTACTCTCGCGTAGGATGAGATAGGAAGATTATACGTCTTGCAGCAGTCGTGCAGCTGAAATTAGCGACGTTGAATTTGGGGTGTTTCCACGTGAAGGGTAGCTATTACATGCCACTACAGTTTAGTGGCTAAACTAGTTAATCCCGAAGGAAGTTTAATCATGTCACCTAGTAATATTGACGTGTTGAATACCGCACGATTTCAGGAGCAAATACAGGAAATGAAAAATACATAATATTGAATTATTGATTTGAATGACATTATCGCCATTACACGTTTATATTAAATGCCACTGTACTAGGTAATATTATTTATAATATATAAATCTTTTCAAATGTTTCATCGAGCGAATCATAATCATTTGGTAGTCACCGATGGCATCCAACGTATTAACCCTTTGAACTCTCCAATATTGCACCAGTTACAATATTAAATATTTCAATGAATCTTTAAAAAAAACTATCGTAAGATTATTAGATTTAGACATTCAAATTTTGCACTAAGGAAAATAAAATATCGAAGAAATTATAGCATTTCTTATTTTCGCAATATTGCACCAGTTATAATATTAAATATTTCAATGAATCTTTAAAAAAACTATCGTAAGATTATTAGATTTACACATCCAAATTTAAGGAAAATAAAAGATCGAAGAAATTATAGCATTTCTTATTTTCGCTAGGAATCCTATAAAAATTAGTTGCTAAGATGTAATTAGTACGATAATATTTCTTTCCAAAGCAATAATTTGTTTCCCGTCGATAGCATTTGCTTCCAACGTAGTAATCATTTCGTCTATCTGCTAACGCTGAAAAACAGCGGCGTTCGCGGCTCACATGCCCGCGGATGCATTTTGAGAGATCGCGCAGCCGGATCGGCGCTCGGTTCCGTTCTGCTTACAACGGAAAGATGCTCGCAGCCGTCCCATTCCGGTCTCCACACTCTAATACCTTCCTCGTATCAAACGGCTGCTAACCAGGTTAACGCGATCCAGCTCTCGATCGTGCGACCATCGCGCGCACGGAATTCGCGGAAACGGAATTTCATTTCGTTAACGGCCGACTCGACCCTTCCCTTTCTCGAGGAAGGGATTAACTAAAGTACAATACGCGTTTCTCTAAGTCCCCGTTTCCGTAGATTCACCGACCGAAGTTAGGTACTTCGTTATTAACTTCGGTCTCAGCCGAAATGTGGATGCACGTAAGAAGATACGTGTACATATACACGCATGTATGTGCATCTAGAATTGAACCAATGCTCGGTACATTGCACGAGAGATCGATAGTGACACTATTTCGCTCTGTAACCACGAATGTAGCCATAGCAGCGACACTAGATTTCAAGATCTAGAACAGGAAGTTGCAGGGAAACCATTTAACTGTAGAAAAACAGGAGATTAGCAGGTAGTTTCTTTTTTAGTATGCAAAAGAGTAGTGTGTATATAAATTAGCAACCTCTGAAGATTTGGAATAGGTTAAAGAGATCTTATCTGTAACGGTCTAGACTGGTGAATCCAGTTCGTAATTTCCACTTTGATCTCGAGTGGATCTTAGAAAGTTGAAGTTGCCGCGAAGATTTTAAATGCGAGGAACGAGTCCAATGAGAGCTGGGTAGAATGTTAGGGGATGAGTCTGCTAATAGACTCTCTCGTAAGCGATTCACTTGATCCGGCTGAAAAGGTACTAAGGATCAAAGTTATGTTAGCGGTACCGGTGCTCACGAGACGCTCGCTAGAATTCGAGGCGCTCGGAAGCCTTT